AACGTAACCGTCAAAATGCGTCATATTATGCTATCTCAAGATATTCAATGCACTATTTATGACCATCGTTTAGTAATTACGGTATTCTGGAATGTAATCAACAATAGTCTAATTTGACTGATTAATCTGTAAATTCCTACTGTACTCTTCCTGAGTACATGTTCACAGTAGAGCTATAGTAGAACTAGTAGTACAGTACTAGTACATAGTACTGACACGTACAGTAGATTGTGTATGCTACATAATCAAAACTTCACGCGGTTGTACAGAATGAAGTTATTTTCAGTTAACCTTGCATTCAAACGAATGGACTGGTACATCCGATGCGAGCATCACGCCAGTAGTTTGCCTGTTGGAAGGAGTACAACTTGAAGGACAAGATTTGGATGCTAATACGTACTAGTACTTAGTACTCTATCATGTACTGTAGTATTGTACTAACTGCTAGTAGTACTAGCAAATGGATGTATGGATTGCAGTGTGGAGCACTAAACAGTACGCATACTACAGTAGTACTGTACAGTACATAGTACATGTACTACAGTACTACGCATACTACAGTAGTACTGTACAGTACATGGTACTACAGTACTACTATATGTACTACAGTGCTAGTAACATTCAAAATTCGTCATAATAATCCTCCAAAACACGTGAAGTTGAATATATAGTACATAGTATTGATACCCCGGATCGACTCACCGCAGTTTTGACATGTCGCGCGGACGGTACGTCTATGACATTCTGATTTTTGAAACATATCATTTCGAAGGTGGGAAGCTTCCTCTTTTGTTTATTGTCCACGGTGTGCCTGATAGGATCATCGACATGAACGAGCTGTTGACGTACCCTGAAGGGCACTACTACGACGTTCAAGAGTCAGCTTGGATGGACGGACGGGTGTGGGACGCGTACTTGGAGATGCTGCCGCCGTACATTGAGGGGCCAAGTGTCATTCTGGCGGACAATTTCGACGTGCATGTGACGCAGCATTCTGCAGAAGCCATTGCTGACGATCTGTTCAGTGTATTGGAGCACCTACCTCCGAATTGTACAAGTGTGTGCCAGCCTCTGGACATGGCGTAATGGGGCCATTCAAGAAATTGCTGCGTACATTGTGGCTGGAAGAGAAACCAGTTACGACAGCGGCCGAGAGGCATTTGGCGATGATAAAACGATCGATCGCAGCCTGGGATCGGATTACGCCCGCGGCGATTGAAAGTGCATACAAAAAGGCCATTCCGAAACCTGAAGTGGTAGTTATGTAGCTTACGTTATTGTGCTTCTTCACTAGTGTTGGCTATTCACACCATAAATCTGGGTGTTTGTTACATCGACCCCGGTATTTTAGATAATCCGTACCGTGATTTAGGATGTCACGTTTCGTTTCAGAATGTAATTATAGGGAGGTCGTTTATGCAACTCCCTCGCTTTAACGTGATCGACCAGTGATGGGCCGAAATTTTTGGATTTTTGTTGATGAATTCCTCTGCGGGTATTTGTGCTACAGGTATGACCATGACATATTCTGAACGGCTACGTCAAGCACTATCAGGTACACCTAAACGCAATCAGTTTAGACAGTTCATGTTTGCAGAAATAAATTCCAAAGTTGCAGAATTTCCATTGAGTCCCAGGATGGGCCGAATTTTATACGAGGTAATATCTCCATCACAATGAATTTAGATTCTCACACATGCATTTTGGCGTTGGCACATAGAAATCGTCGTAGTCACAATAAACTGGTCGCTCTCACACAGAACCAAGTCGTTTTCACAAAGTACTGATCATTGTCACAACAAATTCGGCGTTGTCACAGCATTTTCGTCGTTGGCACACGACATTCAGCTTCGTCACAAATGCATCACGTTTAATAGAGTCTCGACGGTAGGGATATTTCCTGTCCCAATGACAAGCCACGAAATGCTAAAAATAGATTAGCATATGTGAACTGAAAGAGCAACTGATTCGACTAACTGTAACGCTGTGAATACACACACATCCATGTAGGCTTGGTGGTTGTTGTGGGCGTTCCACGAAGGCTGTGGACGTCCCCGGCAGCTCAAAATGACCGCAAGGTTGAGGTTAGTCTGCTTATACTAAGTGCAACTATGTGACTCATGTGTGTGGGAAGCTTCAAAGGACACAAGGAAGGCAGCGGTGTGTGAGGACTGTGGTTGTTGGGGGCGTTCCACGAAGGCTATAAGGCGCTGGATTACTCGTTATGACCGTCAATATGACCGATAAGAGATAATTTGTTAATATCTTTTCCGCTTTCGTTTATTCGCAAGGACGATGCGCCGCAAGGCCCGTAGAAAGGTTACTGGAGGCAGCTCGCCAACCCCGTAGGTCCCAGACTCATCCATAAGTTCCGCCACACCAGCAACGCTTATGACTACCCAACAATGCGCCGTGTTCGCTTGAACCGTGGTCAAAATATACGTACCGTCACCTTCGTTCTTCAGGGCTTTGTAGAGGTCATGATGGGCACACCCCACTCGCTTTCCAAGCAGATCGCGGAAAAAGACTCCGTGGTCTATCTTCAGGCCTTGTGATCCCAAAAACCGTAGGTAGTTTCTCAGGGACTTTGGGGGGATACCGCTGTTTGGCGGCAGGTTTTCTTGGGAAATAAACTCCCGGAGGGCGTCCCCAGAAACTGTTATCGCCAGGCCTAGGGACGTTGCGGCAAGAGTGAATGCAGCAGTAAGGCATCCCTTCGAAGGACTCTCGCCAAGTTCGAGGTGCAATACATCTCGTACGCGGTACTTAGCGAAGGAAATTTTGCAGTTGCACCGTCTGCAGTACTGTTGCCACCGTTTGTAAAGACCCACTGCTTCGGGACATCTTGAAAGTAACGCGACGTCCACCCAAGAAGTCTTGCAGCCTGCGAGTGTAGGTCGGCCAAAGTGAACTTGGTACTGCAGAGTGAGGCTTGATCGAGTTTTCTTGACCGTTCGTTCGGCAACGATGTAGTCGACTTCACGGGCGTGCATGGGGTCGGGAGAAGAGGCCAACACCATGTCTGTGTACACCAATCCGTTGCTGCTTGATGTAGACGCGCCAACCACCGCCGTTGAGTCTGGATGTGTTGGGGGCGTGTTGGGCTTGACTAGCCGGCGGAACAAAGCTCGAGGTGTGGATTGCTGTCTATGGAGCGGTGATATCGATGACATTGAACTTGTGCTGTGTACTGTGCACTGGTGATTGAATTGCTTTCATTGGCTAAAATGTAATGACGTAATGTATTGGCCACAGAGCATTTGTCCATTTCATTGGCTACAAGTTGGTGCAGTAGTCATTTGAGTTTTGGGCACCGTATGGCTAAGTCATTCCAATAGAATGGGTTTTTTATGTCAATGTAATAGATAGGGGATATAGCTCAGTGTCAAATAGGACTGCATTAGGTTTTATCCTAATCCTAATATTGCCCTATAAATGGGCTCACCTAATTCCTAGTGCCTATGCAAAAGCATGTGCGTAGGATAGCACTGTTTTTGGGAGGTTTTCAATAAATAGATGGAGGTACCGTGCGATTGGATGGCAGGCTGAGAGATGATCGTTGAGCCGGCCGCGAGGGTGATGGGCACCGGAACGTTCTTGGAACTGTGCGGTGGTGTTGATACTAGCTGAGTTGACAGGGGACGCTCTGGACAGTTGGTCTTGGTAAGCAGATGTCGATGTCATCATGCCACGGTCGCTAGTTGGTTGCCGCAGTTGGCGCGAGGAGGAGAGAGTTGGGATGCTGCTCCCATAGCCGTCGGTAGTTGGCTTGGCCACGCAGTGTATGGAGGACGTGGAGGGCAGAGGTGCGGATAGCGCAAGGAGATATAGCTCACGTGGTGGAGCTCCCGCTTGGTAACCGAGTGGTACAGGGATCGATACTCGGTGTCGATGTACGATATGCCAGATGTCTGTGTGCGCTGGAACCTTAGTACATCCATCGAGTACCCCATTAATACGTTGATTTATTTTATTTTGTTCCGTGCTTGGTGTAATACTCCTCAATGACGTTCTGCATAAAGATCCAGTTTTCGACGTCGAGGACAAAGGCGTTCACTTTGGTGATAGAGCCTTGGGCATCCATCATTCGCTGTCGTAGGTAACGCACTTTGTCGAAGAACGCTTCAAAACACATGTGTTCCATGGTGTCTTGGAGCTCGTTCAGCTCGGTTTTGAACAGGCGCTGAGCGGACATCGAGGAAGGATGAAATATGAATGTGAAGCATAGGATAACGGTTTCTAACATAAATAGCCTAAGAGTATTCCACACCGTGGAGAGGTTTCACAAATGGATGCAGGCGCCGCAGAGCCGTCACATCGGTGACTTTTCAGCTGCTGAGTTGAACAAGTTCTATCTGAACATCCCACGATGCGTCAAGGCTCACAAGACAGTATGTGGTTGTACGCTCGACCATGGTATGGACGAGGGGGCCTATCGTCAACACCACATGACACGTTGGGATACCAAGTGCGAATCCCATCGATGTCACCCGCTTGAAACCAACGACCCTAACTTTCGGCACTGCCAAGCCCAGTACGTGATACGAC